TTGGGCATGGAGCTTAGTTTAAAAAAAGAAAAAGGAAAAAGATTGATGAGGAACATAAACAGCATCTAAAATCCCCCTTCCCAAGTTTATAGAGCTCAGATTCTCGATGAGGAAGTGTAGCGAGGTGGGGAGACTTCTTCACCCCCACGGATGTTAAAGAAGTTAGTTCATCCAGAGAAGGAAGGGTGTTATTTCTGTCCTTCTTGCTTGATGCAGTCTCTTGTACACACACACCACACACATGCATGAGGCATGTTATACTCACACTTTTGTTCTGTATTTCAAATCAACTGTGACACTTTGCAGACCACACTGCTCACCACACTTTGCTCTTGTGAATTTCCACAGAACATACATTCCCCTTACTTAAGATAGCAGTCTGTTTCCTTTCTTCTTCCAGTAAGCAGTCAGCATCACACATCCTACGCCTAATAAAAGGCCCAAATTATCTCACACTTGCACGTTTTTATAATTGTAAGACCTACTGATGCCGCATTTCTTTCTTTTCTTTTTTTTTTTTTTTTACAAATAGTTTATTGTCTAATTAGTTTCCACATAACACCCAGTGCTCATCCCCACAAGTGCCCTCCTCCATGCCCATCCCTCCCTCCCCCCATCCATCAGTCCTCAGTTTTTGTCAGCATTCAAGAATCTCTCATGGTTTGCCTCTCTCCCTTTCCCCCACCATTTCCTCCCTTTTTCTTCCCCTTGTTCCTCTGTTAAGTTCCTCCTAATCCTCCTATACGTGCAAACATATGATATTTGTCCTTCTCTGCCTGACTTATTTCGCTCAGCATAACACCCTCAATGTCCATCCATGTTGCTACACAGGCCAGATTTCATTCTTTCTTATTGCCATGTAGTATTCCATCGTATAGATAAACCACATCTTCTTGATCCATTCGTCCATTGATGACACTTAGGCTCTTTCCATGTTTTAGCTATTGTGGAGAGTGCTGCTATGAACATTGGGGTACATGTTGATGCCACATTTCTAATGAACTAAAATGGCTTTCCAAAATGGCACCTTCCAGTGGCATGACACCAATGGGAAAAGTTGAATCCAGAGCAGTTTAAATCATATCTGGCAAAGCTTAATTAATTGATGTGTCAATAAAGCCATGTATAGGGCTCTTACTATGGGCCACACAGGGTGAAGTACTGAGTATGCAGAGATGATGAAGACAGTCTGTGTTCTCAGAGCAGAAAACTACGCCATTGGGACAACGTGTTCCTGGAGCTGTGTGAGGTCTATCCAGCTTGCCCTGCCCCTGGTGCACTCACCTATACAGAGAGTGCCATTGAAGATGGCGTTTATCTTAGCATCTGTCTCCCAGGACAGAACATTGATGAGGCCCCCTCCCCCCCCCCACTGGCTGCTCCAGTGGAATCAGTGCATCCCTGGGCTGGGCCTTAAAGTTAACAAAGTGCGGGAGAACCACCCAGTGAGGTCAATGTCAAGTGGACACTCAGTATGTCATTGCTGACTGGCCCCAGGCTAGCAGTGACTAACCAGGAAGCCAGGTTATGCATACAGGTGAGTGGTCACTGGCCTCTGGTGGGGCCTCCAGGCTTGGCCTCTCTGTGTGGTGTTCTTCCACGTTTGCATCTGAACCTCCCAGGGAACCTTGTTCAACATGAGGATTCCTGAGCCCCAATCACAAGGCTCTTGGCTTAGCGGGTCTGGGATGGAGTCTAAGAATCTGTGTCTTTAACAGTGTCAGGCCATTCTTATTACCGGCGGGTTGGGGTGGGGACATCCCAGGTTAGCATCTGGCCAAGGGGCTGCTTGTGATCTCCTGACACATCCTATCCCCCTTACCTTCCAAAGAATATAAAAACACTTGAATTAGTTACCAACTTTAAAAATCAGGTTTTTGTTTTCCTGAGTTGTAAAATGGATAACAGGTGGAAAGTGACTTAAAGAAATGGTCAAAGTGCTCCTACGAACCCTTTGCTGCTCAGGACAGGAAGACCCGAGGCTCTGCGAGGGGCAGGGTGGGATGCTGGGATTGACTGAGAGCAGTTGGATCCATAAGTAGCTAGGAAATTTATTCTCTAAAGAAGCTGGGATGGAGCCCACACACGGCAGGGCTGAGGCACAGAGCTGGACATTGGGGATTGTGTGAAAGTCTATATCTGGAGCTTTCTCCAGAATACTGCAGCCAGGCTGTGTCCCCCAGGAGGAAACTAGAAGCTCCTACTGCCGGGACGTGGGAAGAGCTCCAGAGAAGAGACCTTGATCCCTTGGGCTGAAACCCACCAGGCAACAATCACAACCCCGAGGTATATCCTTTTCAGGCCTTCCTCTTGGATAGGAACAAACAGTGGAAGATGACCAGAACTTGAGGAAGAAGTCCTGCACCATGAAAGTGAGAGAAACAAGCAGCCAAGTAGAAGAAAGAAATCCCAAGGAAACATGATTATAGGAGTCAGCAAACAATTTCAAAATGTACTTATTATTCTCAGATCAGGGGACACACTGCATCCCGAAACCAGGAGCGGGATGCTAATGGGAAAGGAACCTGCAGAAGATAGAATGAGCTCTTAGAAATGAAAATATGGTGGGGCGCCTGGGTGGCTTAGTTGGTTGAGCGTCCGACTTTCGCTTAGGTCATGATCTCGCGGTTCGTGGGTTCGAGTCCTGCGTCGGGCTCTGTGCTGACTGCCAGCTTGGAGCCTGGAGCCTGTTTCAGTCTGTG